AAATTTCGAGGCTTTATTTCACGTTTCAATGATTTTATTGAAAGTTTTGATGAATCTCCATACATTTCCTTATAACAGGACACCACAGAAACCAAACTTGGGCTACCTGTGTCAAAACTAACAACACCTCGATTTATTTTACGCTAAGGGCTATCTAAAAACCAAATATGAGCGAAATCGATTTTTTGACTTGTGCCGATGTTTGGTCGACTCTTACAGAAAGTCTCTCTTAAAAGTTTTTCGTGATAGCGGCCTGTGATTGTTGAGCAACTCTCCCACTCTTGAGCAAAAGATTGTAAGATTTCATATATCAAAACTTATCTATTAAGTAGCAGCTTATATTGTTTTGCTCAGAAACGGGCTTTCATGAAGACACATGCAATCAGATATATTTAGCGGAATAGAAGACATTGTGAGATTAGCACGTTATGACATGCGATAGAAGGAAGGAAGTTATAAACTTGTTGAAACTGAAAGTTGTTATTTTCGCTGGGATGTCAGGAAAGGCTACTTAAATTACTTAACTAAGCTTTACCTGAGTTTAGTGCAGTTATTCAAGAATATGAGCATTTGAAAGAAAGGATTCTTACAAATGATATTGACTATGGCGCGCCAAACTAGACAAAAATACTTCTTCAAGAAATATAAGACTAGTTGTGAGAAATATAAGACTTGTTGCCGAAATATACGACTTGTTGTCGGAAATACAAGACTTGTTGCCGAAATATATGACTTGTTGTCGGAAATACAAGACTTGTTGCCGAAATATATGACTTGTTGTCGGAAATACAAGACTTGTTGCCGAAATATATGACTTGTTGTCGAAATATAAGACTTGTTGTCGAAATATAAGACTTGTTGTCGAAATATAAGACTTGTTGTCGAAATATAAGACTTGTTGTCGAAATATATGATTTTATTGGCGCCTGCAATCTTCGATCAGCGGCACTACAAATGGCGAGCCTGCGATAATGCGGGTTAGCGGGTACTCGAACATAGTTAAAGATGGCGGATTTGTCTACTTCTTGACGTCTTACAAACTGGAAAACAAATTTGCGAAGAAGTGAGAAGGAACGTTTTTGTTGCGGATAGAGAGACTGCTGAGAAACTAAGGAATAATTGTGTTCAACTTATCATTGCCCTTGTTGTTGCAACCAGACGAATGCTATTGGACGAAGGAGACCGAAATTTTATCGACGAGAATGTCAATCTGTTAATTTTAGAAATACAGAAATATATTTTAATGTTTGACGAACGATTCACGGAAAAGGAAGAACATGAGACGCGTTATTCTTGCCCTATAGATTCCGGTGTTCGTCAAGGTCGACCAAAATTCCTCATCCCTTGCCAACAGCTAGAAGGGTTGAGGTCTCTTGGGTTTTCATGGATTGCTATAGCTAAAATGCTGGGTGTATCGGAAAAAACAATCAAACGTCGACGGGAGGAGTACAATATGTCTGAGCATCCTGTACTGTTTTCTGATATCACTGATGATGAACTGGACAGTCTTGTTAAACATGTTCTGGAAATGTCACAGAATTCAGGAGAGCGTATGATAATGGGATGGTTTAAGGGAAGAGGCATTCATATCCAAAGATGGAGATTAAGAGAAGCAATATCACGTGTGGACCCAGTTGGTCRAGAGCTTAGAAGGAAAACAGTCACCAAAAGGAGAGTGTATTCGGTTTCAACTCCAAATGCATTGTGGTAAGTTTATTTACTTTATAATTTCTACAATATAAGTTACAATCAGGTCTTTCCATAGACCCCTTGCACTGATTCCCTAGAGGGACTGTTGTGGGGGGACAATACAAAAGCCAAAAATTATCATTTGTTTGATTTGCCCAGTCAGATTACACAACTGTGAGAGACATACTCAATCCAGAGCACTGTAATGAGGATTATGGTGTTGATGATGATGGACCATTGTCTGAGCTTCAAACCAATAACCATGTTGAAGTACCAGCATCTACCATTGAACTAACAGATGATGAAATGTCTCGGTTAGCTGCAATTGCTAACCCCACATCTAATGACAATAATCATGGTATTCATTTGTATGTTTCTGCCAGAAACCATGTAATTGGTATAATTACTGATAACTGATAACTAAGATAGATTAGAGTACAGGGTTTGTGCTACAAAATTCACAGATTTCTCAATGCCCAAAATTATCATTTTGAARGACCATTTTTTTCTGACTGAGTGACAGAAACAAGTYAATTGAMWATCACTCAAAAAACGTTTCAAAGACCAATTGATAATGACAACTAATGTAGAATTTAAAGGAGAATTTAAGGGATATCCAACAATTTTGATATTTTCAATGACTGTTCAAGTGTACTAAGAACAGAACGTTCAAACCCTGGGTATTGAAATGCCTCAATTTGTTCATTGAAATGCCTTCATTATTTTTAATTGATGTTATTTTAGTGAACCAACTAATTAAACCTAGCCAAAAATAGGTAAATCAGTGTACATAATTATTTTTGAACATAAACAATATTTGAACCATGAGAGAAAAGTAAGTCGTATTATCAGATTTCAAGTATTATTTTTAAGAATGTTTAAATCAACGTTTATATATACTGTAAGAAGTATTATATATTTCAATCAATGTTTATATACCGTAAGAAGTATTATATATTTCGATCAATGTTTGACTATTCCATTAGAAGTAGTATATATTTTAAACAATGTTTATCTATGTCTAGGAAGTCTTACAAATTATACATGGAAGTATTTTTGTCTAGTTTGGCGCGCCATATACCGGTCTGTCCAATTTGGAAATACATGTAATTGAATTCAAAAAACATTCCTCTGACTGCCAAATTGGACTCAGCCTATCGGCCTCTTCCAATTTTGTTAGTCCTTGGAATTTTTTTCATCCAGTTATTTCCAAATTGGACAGCATGCATGTAGTCCTATTACCTATACTTATAATACACTCTACAAAATTACTCGATTCTGATTGGACAAGAGGAGTACAATTAAATTCCAAATTGTACTCTGTAGAGTCCCAATTAAATTCCTCAATTTTGTTGAGTGTATTATAAACAAAAAATTGCACAATGTTCTTATACCATTCAGAATAGACCTCCTTGGCTCTGACGTAATGTTTTCCCATTTCAGACCACGTGTCATTCCCTAGAGTATCATTTCTTTGTTTAGGTTTGCGCTGAGTTGCACATGAGAAGACACATGAATATGGATACAACTCAAACAAAGAATATTATTCTTAAGGGAATGACGTGGTCTGAAATGGGACAACATTACGCTTGAGCAGTCCAGAGCCGATGAGGTCTATTTATAGATACTTGTGATAATGATGATGATGATGATAATAATAATAATATTATTATTAATATATTATTATTATTATTATTATTATTATTATTATTATTATTATGACTAGTTGTTTCTAATAGAAAGTGAAATGCTGCAAGTAATAATCATTATAGTATCTACCCGTGAAATAAGTTATTTTCTTCGTAAGTTCATCCGTAGTCTTGTCTCCCCCACAGCCACTTTCAGTGTCATCACACAAAGCTATCTCCTGGGCGCTCGCTTATTCAGGGGAGAAAGCGTTGCGTGACTGATTTAAGTCTGTGCAACTCTTACACTTCCTTTGTGCTTAGCAACCTCCTGTATGCACCTAAAACTCAATGACCAATCTGTTATATATTAGACTAGAACCTGCCTAGGAACAGCCACTTCCGGTTGTCACATACGCGACTTTATCTGTGATGTCAGACACGTTTGCTTTGGGGACTTTTAGGGACAGTTTGTCATTCTTGTAAAACCTATTCTTAATGAGTGTTCATTAAAAACCTTTCAAGACATAACACAATCCTTTATTTAAAGTTAGTTCTTTTAAACCTTGTAGCATTACAACAGAAGTTAATAAGGGTAAGGTTTTGTCTGTGTTATGGTACAAGTCCAAGTAAATCCCAAAACCCCTTTTATATTCACATTTCTCATAGTGGCTTATGCCCTGGAGGGGGGTACTCCAAGGCAAAAATACCGGATATGCTCATCATATCTCTTAGGGGTAAAAATCAGCGATTTGGTATCCTTTAGGGTGTACATTAAACTTTAGAATTTCAACATTTATTTGGGTACACCTACTTGCAAGAACGTTGTCATACGATATTAGAACATTAGTAATTTAGTGAGAAAGGAATACATTAAAAGACAAAAGAAAAAGTTCAGCTTCAATGATCTTCATTTGTCTTTTTAATATAATTTCTATTCCACTAAATCACTAATGTTCTATTTTCGTATGACAACGTTCTTGCAAGTAGGTGTATCTCTTAGGGGTTAAAATTGTCCAACCATACCCTTTTGAAAAGACTTCGACTACCTTTTAGGTGTATTTTTGAAAATTTCCGACCAGCATACCCAATACTCTTACCCTGATCACTTGTATGCTTTGCGACGCGTTGACCAGAAACCACAAAGACATATTAAGCGACAAGAAAATCAATAACAAAACGTGTCATGTTCTGGAGCATGACATGAAGTCATTTATTTATTTTTATTGTAGTCATTCATTTACATTCTTGAAGTCATTAATTTACTTTTTATTGTTTGGTTAAATATTATATCTGCATGTAATGTCATTATCCGATATCCTGACTTCTGCAAGCCTTTCGTTGCCTTGTCATTGCATTTACTGACAACTCAGTTCTCTCAACTCTTTCGCGTACTTCTGTTTAAAGTTTTCTCTGTCCATTTTCAAGAATTGAATGAAATCCTTGTATATTTTATCGTCACAAGGAGCAGACTTGTAGCAGTCCATGAAGTGACTAACATCACTGCATAATTTCTTGTTACTCATGAATTCCTTTGCCAATTCAGTTGCACAGCGGCGGTTCGTTTTAGCAGCACAAGGTGCAAAGTCGTCTGCCTCTGAAATGAAGAGATTGAAAATACTGAAGTAGACCTTACACTTTTTTTGTGCTTACGCCACTTCCTAGTGTGCTTTATTACTGAACGGAGCACGGCGAAAGCCATTTCATTTGTGAACCAGATTCCGCTCACTCCATGTTAACTTTGCTTATAAATAACCACATTATCATGCGCACGCGTCGATATCTATCAAAATTAAGTCTTACTAACCAAGGTCTTTCCCATGGGCTATCTTCGTGAAATATTCTTCTTTATCTAAAAAAAAAGAAAAAAAAAGAGAGAACTCTTTTGTTTATTTCTATAATTCCTTCAGGCATTATTTCTTTTTGAGAGGAAAGAAAACAATTAAGGCCGAAGTATATTTTAAATTTCAATGTTTCTAATTTACGGTGACTGATGAATGAAAAGGTTAAAAAAATGTACTTCGGCCGCGGAACGGTTTTTGGATAGTTTTTGGACGATTTTTGCCAAGCACCGTGTTCCGTGACGTAAAGTAGGAAAGTAGTTTAGTCTAGATACCATGAAAAACTTGTTCCAATCGACTAAGGTCTGGGTGGGTACAAACGCCCAATTTGTTGTCGATGATCATATGTTGAAGGACAATGAATCGTAACTCGTTTATGAATTCCCCAGAACATCCAAGATTGGACATCAAACATTCACCGATACCCTGCGTGAGAATGGGAAAACATTGTCAGTAAGATTTTGAGGAAATTGGGGGTTTATAAAATTAGCATCCTTTTCACCCAAGCTCCTTGTTTTTCCCGAACCCTGAGACAGCCTCTGGTGCTGATAAAAGGCAAGGCACGGCTATAACTCACAGATCAATCCCTGAAACAACCTCTGGGCTGGTCTAGGTCAGGGCACGGCTAACTCACAGGTCAAACCCTGTAACAACCTCTGGGCTGATCTAAGTCAGGGCATGGCTAACTCACAGATCAAACCCTGAAACAACCTCTGGGCTGATCTAAGTCAGGGCATGGCTA